GCTAACTCCATTAACAACGGCTTATAAGTTCACGTATCTGTGCTCGTTGTAAGCTCGCTTATTATTCAACAGGCGTACAACACGGCGAATGAAAAAAGAAAAAAGAGAGAGAGAAAAGAAAAATGCGAAACAAAACGGAACGTGTGCGCATCCGATCGATGACAGTGCGCGATTCTCCGCATGACGAATTGATTGATCACGCGCTCGTGTTTAATTGCGTACTATTTGCTTGCGTAATCCCGTTATGTGTGCGCGTACATTCGCGTCTCCCCCCCCCCCTCTCTCTCTCTCTGTCTCGCTGCAAGCGCGCGTAGACTGTTCGTGACAAACAATCACTCGGCTATTCTTTAACGCGGCGTTTTTTTCATCGCGTTAATTTCCTAGCAATCCGATTGCAATGTTTGACCGGAGATGATGACATTGGTTTGCTGAAATCAAAGAGCTGCGTGATTCCGAGTGGATTGAAATATTTGTGGTATGACATGCCGTGCTTGATTTGACGTGTAAGTTACTGTGCCGTAGGCGGCATCAGATGCCTGATTTGAAATTCGAAATGTGAAAACAATTTGCTTTGAGAAAATGTAGTTTAATTTAATTTTCTCTTTTACGTTTTCTATTGCGTTATCATTAGTTGTTTAAAGTAACTTATTTTTGAAATTGAAATTTAGAAAAGGATCGGGAATAAACATCCACTGAACGGAAAAAAGCTTTGACGGCATAAAAAACCCATTGGTATTGAATTGATAATCAAAAGGAAGATATAATTAAATAAAATGAAATTATAATGACACAAACGAATGACACTCGCGACACTCACACTTGATGATCGATGCACGTGGTGCAGTTTAGGTGCACAGCCACGTGGCAGCGTACGTTTTGCGAAACACTGTGTAAGCATGCACATGAAATTCCCTCGTCCGATAGACGAGCTTACTCGTATTGAGATTGTTATAACTGATGGTTTTCTGTTACTAATCTCTAGCAGTTTTGGATGTGATAAATCATGAATTTGAAATACGCGGAATTGTTTTACCAATACACAGTTTTCCGCTGTGATAAGCATTTCGTAAAAAAATTGAAAAATCCACGTTTGAAAAAAGTAAAGAAATGAAAAAGAAGACGAGAGCGCGTCTGACGTCACTGGTACGAATGCTACGTAACGGAAAATAAATTGAGCGGACTCTCGATATATTTCATTCGACCGCGTGATCAATTAAAGTAACATTTTGTCAGTATGACAAGGTATTAGTAAAATGCCAGAGTGCGCGCGAGCCGTTCTATACCGCGCATGTCGGCTTTGTCGCTGCTATAACGTCACACCAGTTTTAAACAATCAATCACTGGGGAAAGCTGGAAGCTTAAAAATATGTGAAACTTGGTCGACAACGGTTAGCCAATCAATTCGGGCGTCGATAACTAAATTGATTAAAAGCAGGCAGACAGACTTCATCCCGGGAGGTGAAAACTGGCAGTTTGAAGACTCGTATAGTTGTTATGAAATTTGGGTAGGAGGGGTTCGGGGGGAGAGTGATAGTCCAGGCAACTTTAGCAGCCAATGTAATTAAGGTAGGGCGAGTGCCTAGCAAGAAACTCGATTTGAAGCCTCAGCGGCTGGCGGCTGGCATAGGCGCGGTCGTCATTGCAAATTGATAAATCGACGCGATGTATATAAGATGCGCGTGTGTTGGCAAAAGTGTGTGCGATGCACCCGCGCGAGCGATGGATGCTTCGAGCAGTGTGCCTGGCCACGAGGAGATAGACGCCAATTACCATTCATTACCGAGCAGCGTGGTGGTGCAGAAGCCACCATCAGCGCGCGCCTCGTGCCAATTGACATAACTGATTGGTACTCGCGCAGCTGCCAGTCAGCGGATAGCAGCGGGGCAACAAGGCCGCAGCCAAGCTAATGCAATTATCCGACGACTCGTAAGGGTCGCGAGAGGGCTTTCAATTAAGCCGCCGACGACGACGACGCCCCCGAGACCGTCGACAGTTTCTGAACGACGAGCGCCTATATTATGCTACCACGCGCGACATGGCGCTGCGGATGTATCGATTTGACCCCCAGCCGCAAAAAAAAAAACGATCACTGATTTATCGTACACGACCGCATTCGTATCTCGACTCGGCAATTTGCTGAGAGCCTCGGGGATAAATCTTTGGACTTATCCGCGCCAATATCACTCCCACTTTGATTTTGCATTTTCATTTGACTTCTCGTTCCTTTATAATTTTCAATTCCATTGACATCACTGTGCACATATTCGGATGAAGCTTTAACGTCAAATATAAGTACTGAAAATCTTTGGATGATGTGACAAATACGTAAATTGTCCTGAATAATGCAATCGAGTTGAAAATTAACCGGTTGCAGTCTGATAAGAAGAAGCTTTGAAGAATTATCACCATTTCCTATCGAACGCACAAGCAAAATGCTTGTGTAAATAGGGCTGCTCGCTGTTATGAATTTCTTGAATATAGACGTTGGAAAGATTTTATTCAGATGGAGAAAGACTTTAGTTTTTACGATTGCACTTCCGGAGGACAGAAGTCAACTAATCGAATTGCAGTCAAGTAGCAGCGAAATTTTCAATCATCGTGCCTTTCCTTATCTGGCCCCGCGGAAAATTTAATACCCTCGACACGTTTCCCTGCGCGCTCGTTTCTTTAATTCCTCAAAGATTCCTAGGGCGCGATAGTGTTACTCGGCGAGTAATTTAAGGAGCTGCCAGCGAGGCTTGCGAACTTTTTCTTTTGACGAGGGCTTGCTTTTCTGCCTTCTTGGGCGTGTCTTTTCGCGAGATAAATTGAAGCTGTACAGCGGCGACGAACAGACCTACAAAGAAAATGCCTTCCAAAATACGTCTGCCGGCCAATGGCAACCTCATAAAGGTCGTTTCTCTCCCGGTGAAACGAGCGTAAGGATACAGCGAAAAAATAGAAACCTCTTTAATACCTCGCGAATGGAGGACAAAGGAAGGAAAGTTTACCGAGATACGGGATACGAACTTGTATGGTTGTCGGACAAATCAGCATCAATATAATGTGATGTACGAAGGTACTGCACTCTGGCTCGAGGCAGCTCCTAGTCTCTTTCAATAAAATATTCAGTTTAATAAAGTCGGAATTGAACTACCCGGCTAGTGTTTTATCTGGCTATCTAGATCAAAGGCTCCACCTCTGTTTCACAATATGAACCATGCCGTCTGAGACGCAAAGCTGTCATCTCTGGATAACGAGCTTTGGAGACAACTAGACTGGAATATGACAAGACAAATGACAATAAATGGCATATCTTGGCCGAGACTCAAGAAAACTGGTTGCTTCGCGTCAAAGTTCACGACGAGCCAAATAGACGTGCTCCGCCGAGGCGATAATATCCGACCAAATTAAAATACGACTTTATACTTCCACTGAACAAATTAAACCTCCGTCATAATATTAATCGGAATAATTATTCATCGTTTAATCATCGATGTGACCACATACTATCAATTTAATCCAAAATAAACACGCCTAATAGAATTATCGTACACCTATGAAAATTATTATCGGTTTTCTCAAATAAATGTTATCGCATACCTACAATTTCCATTTTATAAAAATTATTGTGAATTTGATACTTAAGAGCAAAAACACAATTCGATGACTTATTGACGTTCATGTATATAAGTTCAAATCGAAAGTAATTTAAAGTTCTATAAATAAAATAAATGGTTATTACCTTAAAAATTGTAGTTTAAAATTTACTCCAGAGCAAAAAGAAGAAAAAACTTTTTTATGATTAACAAACAATTCCAAGCCGTAAGTGCATAAACGTGAGAGAAAACGAAGGTTGGGAAAACATCAAATTTCATAAACGTCAGTTCGTCGGAAAAAAGCACTGTGTAAATGCAATTTGCCGCGTTTCCAGCTCACGGGCGTTCATTCTCTCGTTTTTTTTACTTTTTCTTTTTTTCGCTCGCGAATGCGCGCCGACACTCGAGGCGAGGTCATCACTTGAAGAATATGCACTCGAGTTGATTGGCGCGCGAAGCAAACGAGAGGGACTTTCACTCTTTACCTTCTATTGTCTTTCACTTATTTTTCTCTCTTTTCTCATGTTATAGCTATTTCGAGCTTTCACGGTTTTTACCTATTTTAAGCTCAACTTTTTATTTCAGAGTGGAGATTTGACTACTTCCAATGATCTATTAAAATACTCTCGGCAAATATATCGATTGGTCAGTAAAATTATAGAAACTGATTTGCACTGGAATGAAATGATATGAAAATATTGATTTGATTTTAAAATACTTCATGATTGGCAATCCACTAGTCTGCATATTTATTTAAGATAGAATGAAACTTTCGTAATAGAGTAAAGTGTTTTGAATTACAGCAAAAATATTTGTGAAACAGTTACTGTAAGATATAAGATAGATATACAAAGATAAGATTAATGAAAAGACAAGGAAAAAACCGATTTCACCATTTTTAGCGGTTACTCGAATGTTTGCTTCAATTAAATTGATAATGAAACAGCATCATTCTAGGGACATGCACTTTCAACTGAACTCACCCCCATTCAAATTACTTCAATCATTCCCCAGACATGCGCAAACATGTAAAAAAGAATTCAGGTCGAATGTAAACGAGCAATCTGTTTGGATATTTTTTAATATAGTACAACTTGTCTATTCCATAAGGACACTTTTAAATTCATGTTATGTTCGATCAGTCTTGAACGAAAGTCAGCAAATTTTTTTCATGGGGTAGCTTAATTATTTTGTACACTCCGACGGAATTTCCGCGACCTTTTTTTTTCAAGAGTCCTTGAGCTCTTTAAAAGACGTAGGCATTAAATACCTCTCTCTCTCTCTTTCGTTCTCTCGAGTTTTTCCTTCATTTTCTCCGAATGCATGAGCTTATCATCGTAACAATATATTTTACGTAAATTAGAACATATTTATTGAACATTTTATAATCTTTGTGATAATTGAATTTTAATCAATTTTCAGAACTGGCTTGCGTTAAGAAGTTCATAATTAACCTGCTTTCCGCCATCTGATGCTGCGGGCCTAATGTTCCAAGCAACTTTAATGTAAACAACGCCGTTCATCAAAGTTTTGGGAAGATTAAGTAAGTAGACAACCTGTTCGTTATAGATAATCGTGCATTTCTGCAAAGTTGCTTTTAATTGAAAAAAAAACAATAGCTTACACAAATACTTTTAACGGAGGTATACTGAAAATTTAATATTGATTATCTTACTTGAAAATCATTTAAAACTTTTACGGAATAATAATATCTTAAAACTATAGTATTACCTGATTATATTTATTTATACCTGAAGTATAATGAATTTGGATAATGCTAAATATCCTTTCTTTTTTTAGTTGGAACCTATTCTTGATTTAAAACAATATATTTCTTAGAATAGCGTGAGTTCGAATCTTTAAATACATATGAGTTTAATAATTAGTATAATTTCTTTTAAATAACAAAATAGAGTGAAGCGTACATATAGAAATTAATATTTATATTAAGTGATTTTTAAAATGAAATAGCAGTTTTAATTACTATTGCAGTTGATTTAATTAATAATCAAAATTATACAGAATACATTAAACTAAGATAATAGAAGCTGCACCTGGTATAGTTAATTTAGTCATGTCGTATTCTTTGTCCGGTTGCAATCCAGACTTAACACTAGCCATGTAGATCTTCATTTTCACGGGAATGTTAAGCCAGATTTTAGCATTAATAGTTACCGAACTGTCATCGAAGTTAATGAGCAAAGCAACGATTTTACCACTAGGATTTCTTCTAATCACTGCCAATATTTTGTTTGTTGCCAACGAAACGTCAGTACTGCCGTTCTTAAGTGTAGAATCCTTCTTTAATTTTGTCAGTGCCTTGAACACGTTATAATGTGAAATCGTGGCATTCTTTTGCATAGCTAAGTTGAGTTCTTTATAATTATCATGAACTGGCAACCAAGTTTCATTATTCGTTGAGAACCCAGCGCTAGTAGTAGCATCCCATTGAAATGGCGTCCTTTCCGGATCCCTCGACTTGAGATAATATCGGTCAGGGCCGGCATTACAACCAGCCGGATCTACAGTTTCCTTATACGTAAACGGTCGATCGACCATTCCAATTTCATCACCATTGTAGATTACAAGTATACCAGGTAGGACAGCTGACAACATGCTTATTTGATCGGCCCTCTCATTGCCCTTACCAAATCTCGAAGCAACCCGATGATTGTCGTGATTGCCCACTACCCAATTAGCTATCTTACCTTTCGGTACGGCGTACAGCCATTCGTTAATAGTCGTTCGGAAATCAATTGCACGCGAATGGTTATTCAAGGTGGCAATGAACATGAAATTGAAAGGATTAGCGCCAACTTCATAAAACTGCATAGATTTGGTAATAGACGTATAAGCTTCCAGAATCATTAATTTTCCGTCAGTTTTGTGTTTATTGACGTAGTTGTCCAGTAGCTTCTGCCATGCCCCGACAACATCATAGGTCTCGTTCAAGTCTCTTGTATAAAGATGATTCAGGTAATCGTAGTCTTCTGCCGGCACATCCTTTCCTGATTTTGGTTCATCCTTGAGATCCTCAACCTCGAACATTTGGTTGATGGCATCGACTCGGAAACCGTCAACACCGCGATTCATCCAAAAAGTCAATACATCTTTCATGGCTTTGTCAAGTTCGGAATTCCGGTAATTCAAATCCGGCTGTTGAATCGCAAATGCGTGATAATAATACTGCTTACGTTTCTCATTCCACTCCCAGGCTGATCCGCCAAAATTCGACAGCCAATTGTTCGGCGGAATAGTTTTATTTTTTGCATCTTTTTTGCCATCCTTCCAAATATAAAAATCATCGTAGGGCTTGACTCGATCAATACTCTTTTTAAACCATTCGTGCTCGTCGGAGCTGTGATTAGGAACGAAGTCGAGTAGTACCTTCAAATTGAGAGATTTGGCTTTTTTGACGAGCTTGTCGAAATCCGCTAAAGTACCAAACTCTGGGGCGATGTCCGTAAAATTAGATATGTCGTAGCCAAAATCTTTCTGTGGACTGGAGTAGATTGGCGACAGCCATAGTGCATCGGCACCGATGTCTTGAATATGTTCTAACTTTTCGGTTATTCCATTCAAATCACCGATTCCATCACCGTTGCTGTCTTTGAAACTCCTGGGATATATCTGATAGATTGTGCTAGTTTTCCACCAATTAAGATCCGGCGGTGCTTTAGCATCAATTCCATTGAAATCCAACAGGCTGAACGTCAAAAGTACCCAATATAGCATTGTCGCAATTGCCATGACTACTTATACTAACTGCAACAGTCAGTTGCAATGATATTTATAAGAACTTGAGTATCATTATCTATCTGCAAACATGAGATTTTTTATATTAATTTGAGAAAGAAAGAGCATTTTATGTAAGTAATTATTTTATTCCTATTTTATTGTCATCAATATCTTCGTATAATCTGTGAAAAATACATTGCTCTGATAGTAGAAAATGCAGCTGATAACTGTTTTTACGTGGAAATTTTATTGTGATGTATACTTCTTTTTATCACTATTTCGTTCTTTTTCATAATTATTTCAATAGAAGATCAAGTGATAATTTCTAATTGCTAAGTGAAAAAAATTAATAAATCAACATTCTTTTTTAAAATACTTAAAAAAATTTTTTTTTATACGCTAGATATACTCCTTTTTAACTAAGTCTTATATATTAAGATATTTATTGCAGTTTTGGAAATTAAAAATTTTTCAATTTAGCCTTATTCATAGAGTAACCTATTTATTGACGATTATATAATTGAAATTTTTGATAAAAATAGAAATTTGTTATGGTATAAGTGCAAGTAATTTATTTTATACAAATATCGAACAACGTATTAAGCATCTTTACATCAATTAAATCAATAAATTATCTTCGTTATCTGGGTATGAAATATTAGTATAATATGATAGATGCAGCTCTCGGTAGGGTCAAGTAAGTTGTATCAACAGTTTGTCCGGATTGCAATCCAGAAGAGACACTAGACGCGTAAATTTCCAATTTTTCAGGGATATTCAACCACGTTCTAGCGTCCAGAGTGATCGATTTATTAGCGAAGTTGATTAGCAGTACAATACTTCTTTGTCCAGGCATTTTCCTAATGACCGCGAGTACATCACTTGTTGCAAGTAGAATTTCAGTTACACCTTTCTGAAGTACGGGTGTCTTCTTCAATTTAGACAATGCCTTAAACACTCTGTAGTGCGAAACCGTTGCATTCTTCTGCGCAGCCAAGTTAAGCTGCTTGTAATTTTGGTTGACCGGAAGCCAAGTTTTGGTATTCGTTGAGAATCCGGCGCTGGTAGTAGCATCCCATTGGAATGGCGTCCTTTCTGGATCTCTCGACTTGATTTGATATCTATCAGGGCCTGCACTACATCCAGCCGGATCTACGGTTTCCTCCCAGGTGAAGTATCGATCGACCATACCGATCTCGTCACCGTTATAGACCACTAGTATACCCGGCAAAACAGCCGACAACATGCTTATTTGATCTGCTCTATCGCTACCTGTGCCAAATCTCGAGGCCACCCGATGATTATCATGATTACCCACTACCCAATTAGCTACCTTGCCCTTTGGTATGGCGTTCATCCATCCATTGATTAATCTTTTAAAGTCTTGGGCTGACGAACCATTGTTTAAACTTGCGATGAACATAAAGTTGAAGGGGTTCGCGCCAACTTCGTAGAATTGCATAGACTTTGTAATAGACGTGTAAGCTTCCAAGATCATAAACTTTCCGTCGGTTTTGTGTTTTGCGACATAGTCGTCCAGTAATTTTTGCCAAGATCCCACAACACCGTAAGTTTCGTTCAAGTCCCTGGTGTAGATATGGTTTAGATACTCATAGTCATCCTCAGGTACGTTATTTCCTGACTTGGGCTCGTCCTTGAGGTCTGCTACTTCAAACATGTGGTTAACAGCGTCTACACGAAAGCCGTCTACTCCACGATCTATCCAGAAAGTTAAAACATCTCTCATTGCTTTTTGGAGCTGAGGATTGCGGTAATTCAAGTCTGGTTGTCCCGGTACAAAAGCGTGGTAGTAATACTGTTTGCGTTTCTCGTTCCATTCCCAAGCAGACTTACCAAACACCGACAACCAGTTATTCGGTGGGACGGTTTTGTTTTTGGCATCCTTCTTACCGTCCTTCCAGATGTAAAAATCATCGTAGGGCTTGACTCGATCAATACTCTTTTTAAACCATTCGTGCTCGTCGGAGCTGTGATTAGGAACGAAGTCGAGTAGTACCTTCAAATTGAGAGATTTGGCTTTTTTGACGAGCTTGTCGAAATCCGCTAAAGTACCAAACTCTGGGGCGATGTCCGTAAAATTAGATATGTCGTAGCCAAAATCTTTCTGTGGACTGGAGTAGATTGGCGATAGCCATAGTGCATCGGCACCGATGTCTTGAATATGTTCTAACTTGTCGGTTATTCCATTCAAATCCCCGATTCCATCACCGTTGCTGTCTTTGAAACTCCTGGGGTATATCTGATAAACTGTGCTGGTTTTCCACCAATCAAGATTTGGTTTTTTCTCTGGCTGCTTAACTTTAACTGACGAAACACTGAGAGCCAAAAGCCCCAGTGTCAATAGAGTTGTAAGCGACATGATTGTAGAAACTAACTGCAACTATCAACTTCGCTGACATTTTATATAAACTTGACATTAAAAAAACTCTCATTGATAGTGCTTTTTTCTTCGTGAAATCGTCGAATGGATGATTATAATAGTCTACTACGATAATAAGCTTATAATGTTGCAAACTAGAGCTTGGTATCATTCACACATATAATCTCGATTTATTAGCTGTCTTTATTGAATGTTAAGGTTAAGCGCGTGGACGATAACAAGTTCTAGCTTCGACTAACTAAACAAACTAGAATCGAACTCGAAAAGCATGTCGCATAGTAGCATGACAACATTCTATGATGTTTTAATTTCATTTTAAATTTATGCCATACATACTATAATGGCTTCTGTAATATAGCCTTAAAATAATTTTCATAATACGCTTAATACGATTCAGAATTTTACTATAAAGAGTAACAGCTTTATATTTAATTGAAAAGTAAAAATATGCATGGCTATATATGAAATATCTTATCTATAGGATATATACTGCCATTTTTATAATTAATTCAATGATTTTAGAGATAAAACTTGAGCTGGTAAACATACGAAAGCGTTCAAAATATTTGAAATTAATTTTTTAAGATAAGCCATTTTTGTTCAGCGATTCATACATAAATAAAAACATTCTTGCTCCAAATATACTAAATTTATCTAGTAATAATCGAAGCGTCATAATTTTTATAACATTAATAATTATTAATATCATAAATTATTGTAAAAATATAGTACACTATCAAACTAGTGCGGAAAAGTAGATTTTAGTTCAGCGTAAGGTTTACGCCCGAGCGAAGCAAGAGTATTTTTTAAGACAACGTGCGAAAAGCACGAATCTGAGAGCACGTATTTCGATGAGCGTGCGGCAAATTCATACTTCCGCACGGCGTGTTGGAGATTCGGATTTCAAAAACTTTGACTATTTTGGAAATAATGTGATTATTTTGAAATATATTGATTTGATAATCCTTTATTAATTTAGTTATGAAAAGGTAGTTATGAATAAAATATAAAATTGTGATCCTTTTACTGCATCAAAAGTTTTATTCAAATTCTCCATTAATAACAATAAACCAAATATTCAATCAATAACTCGATTGCTACAGAGTTCAAAGCTACAACCTTTTATTCCAAAATAACAGATGCTGCCCTTGGAAGTTTTAAGTTACGTGTATTGAGAACTGTTCCTAATTTATATCCTGATTCCACACTAGCCGTGTATACTTTCATCATCGGAGGAATATTGGCAGAAATACTGATATCAAGGTTCACTTCTCTATCTTCAAAATTGATTAGTAATACAATAGGATTTCCTTTTCCATCGATTGGTCTTCGAACAACCACTAATACATGTCCGCCAGGTGTGACAATCAGCTCGACTTTGCCCTTTTGCAAAGTTTCAGTTTTCTTAAGCTTCATTAAAGCTTGGAATACTTTATAATGAGATACGTTATCTTTCTCTTGCTTCGCCAAATTCAATGTTTTGTAATTATCATGAACGGGTAGCCAAGTTTTTTGACTATTAGAGAACCCAGCGCTGATCGAGTCATCCCATTGGAAGGGTGTTCTTTCCGGATCTCTGGAAGCTAGTTGATAGCGCTCTGGTCCAGCACTGCAACCAGCCGGATCAATTGTTTCTTCATACGTGAAAAACCGGTCAACCATTCCAATCTCATCACCATTGTATACGACCATGATACCAGGCAGCATACTCGCTAGCATGCTGATCTGATCGGCTCTATTATTATCTTTGCCGAATCTTGAGGCAACGCGATGATTGTCGTGGTTACCTGTGACCCAATTTAACACCTTACCTTTGGGTACGGCGTTTATCCAGTTATTTATAACTCTTTTAAAATCCACGGCTGTCGAATTGACGTTAAGATCCGAAATGAACATGAAGTTGAATGGATTCGCGCCAACCGTGTAATACTTCATCACATTTTCCTGGGTTGTATAAGCCTCCATAATCAAAAACTTACCGTCTGTTTGATAATTCCTCACGTAGTCTTCGATTAATTTTTGCCACGACTCAACCACTCCATAAGTCTCATTCAAATCCAGCGTATATATGTGACTCAGGTACTCCCAGTCGTTGGCAGGTACGTTCTTTCCTGATTTTGGCTCGTCCTTCAGATCTTCAGACTCGAACATGAAATTAATAGCATCGATTCTAAATCCATCGACTCCACGTTTCATCCAAAAGTTTAGGACATTTTTCATTTCTTCTCTCAGCTGAGCATTCCGATAGTTCAAATCCGGCTGTCCAGGTACAAAAGCATGATAATAGTACTGCTTACGTTTGTTATTCCATTCCCAGGCAGATCGTCCGAATCTCGACAGCCAATTATTCGGTGGATGCATCTTACCGCTAGCGTCTTTTTTACCATCTCTCCAAATGTAATAGTCATTATAGGGTTTGATCCGCTCGATGCTCTTTTTGAACCACTCGTGTTCATCGGAGCTGTGATTCGGTACAAAGTCGAGAAGTACCTTGAGCTCGAGAGACTTGGCCTTCTTCACGAGTTTGTCAAAGTCTGCTAGAGTGCCGTACTCTTCGTGAATATCCGTAAAATTAGAGATATCGTAGCCGAAATCTTTCTGCGGACTCGAGTAGATAGGTGATAGCCATAGAGCGTCTGCACCAATATTTCGGATGTGTTCCAACTTGTCGGTTATTCCATTCAGATCACCAATGCCGTCACTATTGCTATCCTTGAAGCTCCTCGGATAGATCTGATAGATCGTACTGCTCTTCCACCAATCAAGATCCTGCTGTTTTCTCTGCTTGATCTCGTGATTAGAGGACGCAGTGGCCACGACCAGAAGGCCAAAAATTATTAGCTTAGCGGCCAACATATCGCTACTGGCCGATCGTACGAATGCGATTGCTGCAAAAACAACTGCAGCATAAGTGTTTTATTGTCGTAGGCCTGGCATGACAGAAACGCGCGATCCACTTACTCATTTTATCGACTACTGAAGCAATTTCTGGAATCGATACAGTTTCCGGGATACCAAAAAAATTCAGATTGCAATCTCAAGATTAAAACCCTTGAGACTTGGCTTTTTTATCTCACTTCGATTGATAATACTGCCTGCAAAAGTGACGTAACGAAATAGTTTCTCAATATCAAATGTCGTTGGTCGCAATCTCTAAACGTAACAGAAAACATTTTAGTTAACTTGTCCACCTTTCGTAATAATTGCGTATTGCGTAATCGAACTGTCCAACGCGAACATAATGTTGTTATATGGAAATGTCACTTCACGTTCTGCTTTTTATACTTCTATATTATGAAATATAAGCTTAATTAATCAATAAAGCATGTCGGGACAATAATGCATTGACTATTCAATTTAGTGACGCGATTTGCCACAAATACGAAACTCTAACGACCTCATAATTAATTTTACGATTCACACAAGACAAAATATCGAGAATTTGACGGCAAATGAATGTGTAAACGCCGATGGAATAACGAAAAATGTTAATAAATTCATTCGATAGTACGGTTTTTACCGTCCAAGCTCAGCGTGAACTTCGGAAGACAAATTAGCAGACAGCGATTAATTGACAAGTGCTCGCGGCGTTCTCGGCATAAAGGCGTCGTCGGGCGAGCTCGCGAGCGCGAGAAATGGACGAGAGAGTACGGGGCGCAAGACGTATGCCGCTGCTCTGTAGTGAAGAAGACGAGGAGGTAAAAACGCCATGCAAGCGTGTCTGGCACAGAGCGTACGCTGTTATCGCGCGGACGCGTCGCGAACGGCGGATAAGAATAGCCGCGAGGACAGGTGGCAGAGCGAAAGTAAAACGGCAAACATCGGCCTACACGGTCTCGTCGCCCTGGCCGTTTTACGGCTCGGTATATAACTGCGCTGTCGCGCCAGCGCCTCGGGCTGTGTAATTGCAGTTCGTTTTCTCTCACTCTGGCTTCCCGCTCCCCCGCCACGAGACGCGGGCAGATTTCTTACCCGGAAATGGGGGCGCCCCGCGAACGGTAAACTGTCTGCCACGCTAAAAGTCTACAATTAGCGCTGGTCTTATGTAAATATGTTCTACCTGCCACTCCGCTGAATCGTCCTACATAGCACACTCGCGAAAAGCTGCACTTTGCGAATCTGACTGACGTTTCTTCGTTACCCGCTCGTTCCTCGCGCGCAACCCATTCTTTTTATATATTCATCCGGTTCTTTTGCTGCGGTTAGATATTCTTCTAATATTGGCCTGCGTCAGTGATGGCCTGCGTCAGATTGCGCGCAATAACACTTTCGAAATGCGCTCGAGGCAGGTTGCGCAGCGCTATTTAGAAAACTATAGTTATATACAGATTTTAATTAAAGTTTAGAAAGCTTACGCTTCGATAACATGAAAGCTCGCAGATTTTCGATAAGCTTCCATTGAGGGGAAACGTATGAAACGAGCTGGAATAGAATAATAAGTTTAAATTCATCTCAACGATTACATTCTGCCAATTAACGAAGGTAACTTGCTTCACAGTTTTCCAGCTCGTTTAACGCTGCGCCAAATTAGGGAAAATATTGCAACAATCTCGTTATTCTTTTACGCGTTTATCTCTGACCGAGAAAAGAAAAATTAATTAAAATCCGTCGACGGGGTTAAGCCAGCTTGATACAACAAACAAATCCGCGCCAGCACGTTATGTGACCATATAGGCTGTCATGAATTGACTCGGTGTATTATGCGCACTCTATGCGTATATATAGGGCGACGAGGCAGGTACGATGGGGACGAGCGAGGCGCCGAGTTTCAAATCGTCGATCATTCAATAAAACAGGCAGCCGGGCTCCGTTCGATCTTCTTTTTCCCCCGTTCGCGCTTCTCAATCTGTTTTCCACTGGGTCTGAGCCGCTCGCGCGTCCGGCCAACTTTAGACGTGCTTTACGGCCCCAATTAACTTTCTAGGCTAAAAACTCTCTCTCTCTCGCGCGCGCGCGCGCGTACTTTCCTCGCCCGCGGCGCCGGCTCGAGCCATTGTTCATGCATGCAAGTACACATTCTTTCTTTTTGCCGGCTGCTGCTCTACACTCGATTAATCTTGCTGCTCGCTTTTAAACGAATAATTGCAGCTTCGCGGCGGAGTAGCTGGCAGTGGTCGAGCGCGTGCTTTATCAATGATTCGTATCCCCTTGGCGCGTTGCTCGCCCGCGGATTTGTCGTGCGCGACGCGACGCTAAGCTTGCTTTATTGTTGTATAGCCGCGCGCGCATCGCGAGCGAGCGAGGCGCGCGCGCGCGCCTGCTTGGCTGCCTCTGCCTGCATCGGACAACGGAGCCCACTTGCGAAGAATTGTAGGCGGTATATATTTTCCAGCTTTTCCGGTCGGGCGAGGAAGAAAGAGAGAGAGACTCGAGGAGGAGAAGTGGCTTGAGCCCTCGTAAGCCCTTGGATATTTATGTTTTACTGTCTTATGTTTAATATTGCATTCACCGTATCGACACGCTTATTAAATACAATGCGAGCTTCAATTTAGATCACTGGTCAAAATCGAAAGAATTACATTTAATTAACGCACGAGACAATGAAGATTTCAAGTTTACAAGTCATCAGCTTGTCGATGACCGTATTAGATTTAATATTTTACACCGATAACGATCAAATTCTTGATTGAATGAATGGATCACGAGGCTGATTCGACAAACTCAAGTCTCGCGGTCTCTCTTCGCTAAGTGAATAATTAAAGGCCACACAAAATCAACAAAGTTGATTCACGAACTGCAATCGGATGTAAATCACAGTAATTGCATTAGCTTTCAAAGTTTCGCGCACAAGTCTACACGGCAATCGGCAGATCGATAATTTAATGCGCGACAAAATGCAATGATCTCGTTGTACAGCAAATGGCTTTCGGATTCTGGATATAGAAAGAGAGAAAGAGATAAATGTCGGCCTCGTTAAAAATCGTTCAAGAGAGGGAGGGCCGGGGAGGTGGCGGAATTAAAATAATTAGTAGGAATAATCTCGGTCGCCTAATGGCCTAAAGACTACTGCCCACCCGGTCGGTGCTCACTTAAGAGCGAGAGCAGCCTCCCGTAATTAAAACGCATTGCCTGCGCTGTCCCTCGCCGCCTACTTTCTCGCTTCTTTTTTCTCCTGTCTTCCCGCGAGCAGCGCGCATACATATTGTGCATTTGTCTCGGCTAAGCCCTTCTGAATATACTCAAGCTTTCGGGATTAAGCGGCCGGATTCAAATGTCGTCATGAACGTTTGCCCAGCAAAAAGGGGCAAACGCTGATGCGCTTCTCCGCCCGGAGCGCCGGATTATTTATTCATACTCTCTTCATTGTCAGCTAAGCGCACGGAGCTTTATTTCCAATCATTTTTCACGTGCGCGCCGTCGTTCCGACATGCAAAAACTGCCGAACTCTGTCCGGCATTCGGCTCGCATCAACAGAATGCGCCGATTGCGTGTGCGAAGCTTGCTTCTGTCATTAAAATATGCACAACCGCATGCTAGCAGAATGGCGCGCGACGTACAAAGGACAATTTGTCAGCTTACGGAAATGAACGTCGGATGGAAGGTTAATCAAGAGCCAATACGAATTTCTACGATAATTATGTGGGTTTTACGGGAATGAAAATCGAGATTGTTTTCATTGACGTCGTGGATGTTAAGCTCTTGTAATTAACAAATATCAATGAATACGTTTGGCTCACATTTTCTCAGCTATAATGTGATAATTAAAATGTCTCGGCTGAGTATTTTAAACAATGCGTAAGCTCGCGTTGATATTTTATGCGCTGCGCCGCGTCGCAAAAAAGTTTAAGCAGGAGCGTTTAAAAAATGGACCCACTTTTTTTTTGCATCTGGACAAAAAAAAGCACATATGCCTACAAGTAGCACAACTATTTCCGAGAACTTGCGTCACCAATGGAATCGGTAAAGCACTCGTATGTACGCAAAAATGTGCATCCACGCGCCAAAGGATTAACGACACACAACGTCACTCTGCGAACGCGCGAACGAAAAAAAAATTGCATCAAAGTTTCCTGTGAACTCACTATAACAAATGTGTGCTGCCGCGGAAAAAAAAGACACTCAGCGGACAGCCACAACGCGGTGACGACGAGTTTTTCCGCTCAACGATAAAAAAATTTTTTTTCGCCGATGTGACGTACACAGCGCAGAGTCATTTTTCAAGTTGTCGAGCGCAGCAAAAAAAACGAAAACATACTTCGACCTTGATGTCACCTTTATCTACCTACCTACGGCTTATCTCGAGTACGCAGTCGTTCGTTTGGCTATAATCGGATTTTTATGAGATTTCCAATCAGTATGCCAGAAGCTCACCTGATGTTTTGCACCGCTGGATTTTTCGCGGGAAAAGGCCTGGTTTTTACTCATCGCTTGCGACTTGAAAAAAAATCAGGAGCTTACATTTGTTTTTATTAGGAAGTTTCGCAGGTAGGCAAGCAACGGAAAAAATTAAAAGGAGCGAGTCGACAAAGTTTTCGTTTGGCGTGGTTCTAATGGCTCGTAAATTTCCACGTAGGTTTGTTTGCACATAAACAACTCGTTTGGCGGGCAGCTGCAAGAGGAAAAGCTTTTACTTTCTTCATAGAGAGCAATCCTGTCTTTTTTCGTTCCCGGGCAACTTTGCACTCTCTATCTCTCTCTCAGCGGGCAGCCCTTTGCAGCTCGCAGCTCATTTCAAAACTGCGCTCGCTCTGCTCTCGTTAAGAGGAAACAAATAAAAAGGATCCTATGATTCATCGATTGCCCTGGACGAATTTATCGAGTTCACTCGGAGGCTTGATCAGTCACGGAAAATAAAAGTTCTATATACTCTCGTCACGCGCTACTTTACGGCTCGGCGCCGGATGAAATTGCTGCAGATAATTTTTCGCGCTCCAGGAAGAAGAATATTGCCTCGGGCCACTCCTTTGCAGTTTTCATTCGGAGCGCGCAGGCTCAAAGAGAAAGGGGATTTTCATTCTTCTTTCGGCTTTTTTTTCCATCTCTCGCTGACGAGTTTGTTATAACAGCGCACGCTGGTTTAATCAAGGGCCGTTCAGCAAATTTCCCGATAAAACACTGGTTCCAGCTAAATGTCGTT